GTAGGGGCAGGGGAGGGACAGGACGAGGCAGGGCCCTCCACCAGGCTAGAAGTGGGGTGGGGAAAAGTCACATGGGAGGCAGTCACATGACCAGTGCTGCCCTTCTGTCCCTCCCCAGCAGTTCCCACTGCTATTTACATTCCAATCATGGGAATCATGCCACCAGATTTGCATATTATCAACGTGTGACAACCCCTCCCCGTGCTTTATGAAATTGACTTATAGATACAAATATGCATAACTCGAAGATGCTTTGGAAAAAATACCTCATGTAACCTATGAATCAATGTCATAATCTGCTGGATCTGTATATCTTTGTAAGCAAGGTCTGAATCACTGCTTCCATTACAGCCAGCTGGAATGGGAAAGAAATCCTGGCTGTGCTTATGTAAATACAGTTTGTCCCTGCTTTGCTTAGATGTGTTACATCCCTGCTGGAAATCAATTGAACATGACCTCCCAGTGCAATACTGTGGGTAAAGGAGTTGATGCAATTCTCATTACTCAGTCTATAGTTCATCGAAAAGAAGGTTAAGAGGGGACTTGATCCCAGTAAGTGCCTCCATGGTGACAAGGAGCCTCATCAAAGACAAAGTGCCATCTGCCCAGCAAGGCAGGAAAGCCCAGGATACTCCTACTGCCCTGAATACACGGACCAAAGTGGGATGTTTGCTCTTTGAGTGAGTTCCCAATCGTAGAGCTCAGCTTCCATCAAGTAAGAGAGGAGGGTCACTCAAAGAAACAACTAAACTGCAGCCCTGATCAGTATGGAGAGGCACAATCCCTCTTCACACACCCTCAGCAACTGTCAGAGCCTTCCCCGGAGAGGTCTCTAAAGCCACATCTGTGTGTGGGGGAGGGTTGCCCAGTTTGTGGGAACCTCCATATGTGCGCACCAGCCCAGCTGCCTATGCCCATCGGGGTATGGGTGTGCATTGATGTGATGGAGACACATTGCACCTGGTGAAACATGCAGCCCAGCTGAAAGCTGCTTTCTGGCGGACAAGTATATGGCCAGACTCACCATCTCAGCCATGGCCAGCACTTCAGGAAGCATTTCAGACAGGGGCTCAGCAACCTCGACAGCTGGTCTCCATAGAGTTTCTGAATGAAGTCCCAGGCCACGAAGAAGATGACCAGAGCAGTGATAACAACCAAGGCGAGGGCTCGCTGGAAGTTCAGGCAACAGGCCGCAATGAAATAGGCCAGGTACGCTGAGGAGGAGAACAGAGGCTGTGAGCGACTTTGGGCAGACTCAGCTCTGACAAACCCTCCCTCACCTCCTGCCATTCTTCCCCCATCCCTCGCCACACAACCCCTTCCATGCCTGTGCTGCCACAGCAGTCAAACCAGCTGGCTTGGAGCTGGGGGGGAGGGGTGTCGCCAGGAGGGCAGATGAAAAGATCTCTGCATGTTTGCATGTGGGGTGGGTGGACAGGGCCACACTGTCCCAGAACTGGAGATGCCTGAACCCCTTGGGAGGAGAAGGTCTGACCAGGAGCTAAGGGGCAAGAACGGCACAGGCCCACTGCAGCCGGCTAGATGGGAGATGAGCTCAGGCGCAAGCTCGATGGGAAGGCCAGAAGACATGGAAATCCAGGCCAGCCCAAGGCCTGGAGAACACACTGAGTGGGCGAGTCCACTTGGCTCTCAGTTCTAGTGTCTCTGTTCCCAGGGAGGATTCCTCACATGCTGTGAGAGGGCCTAGCAGTCTCACCTGCGCACAGGAGGCCCAGGAAGATCTTCCGGATCACCTTGTCGTGAGCCTTACAAAACCTCGTGGCCCGCGACACAGGCTGCACCACATGCCTGGGGAGATGCAAACAGACACCAAGGTGCATGCAGGGTGCTCACCGAGCAAACCTGCCCTGCTGCAGCAGCCACTTGTGCCCAGCAGCCTATGCTCACCCATTTATCCTACCTAGACACTCGGCTGCAGGCTGCCGCACAAACCTCTCCAACCTTCCTGTGATTTTGGAAAAGACGCCCCCCCAGGGAACAGCACCCTCCGTAGGTGCCGACTCAGTGGGCACTTTGGGGCTGGAGCACCCTTAGAAAAAAATGGTGGGGGGCCCCCCCCAGCCAATCAGCTGTTACTTTGGCAGGATTCCGCTGAGCAGCAGTGTAGTGGCAGGCAGGAGGGGCTGGTGGGAGGGGGCGGAGCAGGGATGGGAAGAGGCAGAGTGAGGGTGCGACCTCGGGGGGAGAGGCAGAATAATGGCCAGGCCCTGAGGCGGAGACAGAGTGGAGCATCCCCCTGGAAAAATGAAAGTTGCCATCTGTGGTGCCTCTTGCTGCAAGCTCTCTTCTGCTGACTGCAGTTAAGACAGCCCTGCACATCCCTGGTGGTGAGCCAAGCCCATGTACCTGAGCTATCATCCACCCAGGTCAGTGATAAGGGAGCTTGCGCAAAGCACGGCAGGCAGAGCTAGCCTGACAGAACAGTCTCAGCAGCTTTGCCATGCGGCCCCTTGCAAGGAACGTGGCAAACAGCTGCTTCTGTGAGAGTGCACGGGGTGGCTTTCCACATCAGCCAGAGTTTTAGAGATCTACGAGGGCTGCTGCTCCCAGACCAGAGATGCCTGTTTAGCTCACATGGCAGAGACTCGGGTTCTTATATCCACAGAGCCCGGATTCCAAGCCCATGGATGTCCCAGAGTGTAACCCTGGCCCACCACTCTCAATGTACGTGGGAGGTATGAAGGAACCCCTGGCTTATCCCCGTTGTTTGCGGCACAGCCAGGGACCCTGCCCATTGAGACCTGGGATGACCAACAGAGGGACCAGAACTTTTGCACAAAGGGAGCAGGAGCCTTGTGAGCACCTTGTCTAGATTCTCCCGTGTAAAGAAACGTGCGGGAGGGAGGCCGGGCCTGTCCAGAAGTGGGTTGCTACACCCCAAGGGACTGTAGGCATCGGCACTAGCCAGCTTTGTTGCCAACAAGCTTGCTGCTGGGAAGCTGACTGGGCAGAATGGTGGTGGTGGTGGTTTCTGAGGTGATTGGGTTTATGCCACGGTGACAGGCATGGAAGAGATTCCCAAGGGGATCGCTGGCTTTGAGAGAATTGTGCCAGAACACCGACTCCCCTGTGCCCGTCGTTTGCCCTCCTCGAGGAGCACACGAGAACCTGGAGCTACTCCCGCTGTGTAACCCTGGACCACAAGCTGCTCCCAGAGCCAGGAGAAGCCAGGACTGCCAATGTCCAGCGATCCGCTCCAGCTCACAGATATGTGCGCAATCCACTGGCCATGTGGGCAGGGTTTCCTAGCTGTGGTCGGCCACAATGGCGATAAGGCAGAGGTTTTTCTGGCCGTCCCAGTAACACTGAGAGCTGATGCAGAAGAGGGCTGGGCTCAGTGATAAGGCTGAAGGTTGTGGGGCTACACCCACCTGATAACCCATTTAAAAATAACTGTTATCAGCAGTAGGTCAGATCTGTACTACCAACTTAGGTAGGCCCAGCGACCTCGGACAGGGCATGAAATATCCATAGCTCTGAGTGACGTTGTTAAACCGACCTAACCTTCAAAATCAACCTAAGTACCGCTCTCAGGAAGGTGGAGTAACCCTGCCAAGGGCAGACCCGCTCCCAGCAGTGTAGGTAGCATCTACACTACAGTCATGCAGCTGCAATGTTCCAAGTGCCAGCAGAGTGTGAGGTACCTGCAGTGATGGCTGAAGGATGCTACGTTGACCAGGGAATGTCGACACTGCCATGGAAGCCCAGGGTTAGTGGACTGGAGTCAGCAGAGCCAAAGCTTGAGCATCTACACTGATTGCCAACCCAAGGTTAAGAATTTTTTAACCCAGGCCTGAACTGGGGGCTCCCGTCTCCACACTGCAGTACCCAATCCCAAGTCCAAACCACCCTGCCCCAGACAGACTTCCTAGCAGCCTGCTGAAAAGTGGCTGCTCTAGCTCTGTATTGGTGATACAGCAGGAGAACCTGACAGTCTGTGCTGCATATACAGGAGACTTGAACAGCCTACGAACACATCCTGCCGAGTCAGCATTTTGGCCTCAGCGCTCCCTGCAACCAGAGCCAGCAACACGGAGATGTGATCTTCTCTTGCCTGGGCTTTCACTCCTGCTTCAGAACATGGGTAGAGCTTCTCTGAGAGGCTGCTGGGCAGTTCAGGGGTGTTTTCTCTCCTGCCAAAGGGCCCTGGCAGGCCTAGCAACAGAGCAGGCAGAGGACAAGGCAGACACCGATGTGGCAGGCTCAGACTGATGCTGTTCCCTAAACAGACAATGCTGCTGGAGTGAGCTGGGCCACAAGCACAGACCAGTGGGACCACATCATCATGCAGACCTGGGATGACGAGCAGAGGGTCCAGAAGCTTTGCACAAAGAGAGCCATGTGTCTGGAGTCTTGTGAGCACCTTGTCTTGACTCCCCCATGTAAAGAAACATGTCTGAGGGAAGCCAGGCCTGTCCAGAAGCAGAGTCCTATAACTGCAAAGGGAGCTGTAGGCATTGGCACTAGCCAGCTTTGTTGCCAACCAATCTGGTGCTGGCAAGTTGACTGGGCAAGGCAGGGGTGGTAGTTTCTGAGGTGGAGCAAGGTGGCAGGCATGGAAGATATTCCTGAAGGAATTGCTGGCCTTGAGAGAATGGTGGTTCCAAATCCTGCCAGAACCCTGATGGCTCCCCTGTGCCCATCGTTTGCACTTCTTGAGGAGCACGTGAGAACATAAATCGCAAAGGGCGCTACTCCATAGCTATGTCTAGGGGGACCATTTTTCCCATGGCTGAGTATGGGTCACCTAGCAAACTATCTCGAATTCAGCTGAGTTCAATAGCAATCAATCAGAACTATGTAGTAGCCACCTCAACATGCTATAAAAACTCTGAGGCCCAATAGAGGAAGAGGAGCTGTGGGGGTCCGGGCAGAGAGCTTGAGCACCCTAGTTATGCAGGTCTTCATGGGCCAAAGAGGCCAATTTAAGAATGCCACTGTTGGCTGGAAGCACTGGATGCCAGGGATTTCCACTGAATGGGACACTACAGTCATGACGGGTGAGTAACGTCGTAAATTGTGATACGTGGCGTTACTATTCCCTTTATTATTCTGGGGGTACCGTGAGCACCCCCTTTTTGCCTTGGCTTATGAAACTGACCCCTCATGTCCAAGGCCCTAGTAAAAGGTGTAATTACAGTCTCAGCAGGTGTAGCATGGTGAGTGAATGTGCATTTGGCTGATCGAAATCCCGCGGCTGATGTTTAGAGGCCCGTTTGGGTGCCAGTGTCATCAGTACGGTGTGCGTTGCTCTGATTTGCTGCGCTCTTCACAACCGTCATGAAGCCATTTCCCCCCTAATGGACCCATGAACCGTCACACTTAGCCAGGAAATGCACCTGCGATAGCTGGAGTTGGGTGCACACATCAACAGAACTCAGGGTACGTCTACACTGCAGCGCTAGTTCGAACTAACGCATCTAGAACTAAAAACTAGTTTGAACTAGTGTTTTGCTAGTTCGAACTAGGCGTTAGTCCTCGTAAAATGAGGTTTACCTAGTTCGAACTAAGGGCTGTGTAGCCCTTTAGTTCGAACTAGGTAAACCTCATTTTACGAGGACTAACGCCTAGTTCGAACTAGCTAGTTCGAACTAGGCGTTAGTCCTCGTAAAATGAGGTTTACCTAGTTCGAACTAAGGGCTGTGTAGCCCTTTAGTTCGAACTAGGTAAACCTCATTTTACGAGGACTAACGCCTAGTTCGAACTAGCTAGTTCGAACTAGGCGTTAGTCCTCGTAAAATGAGGTTTACCTAGTTCGAACTAAGGGCTGTGTAGCCCTTTAGTTCGAACTAGGTAAACCTCATTTTACGAGGACTAACGCCTAGTTCGAACTAGCTAGTTCGAACTAGGCGTTAGTCCTCGTAAAATGAGGTTTACCTAGTTCGAACTAAGGGCTGTGTAGCCCTTTAGTTCGAACTAGGTAAACCTCATTTTACGAGGACTAACGCCTAGTTCGAACTAGCTAGTTCGAACTAGGCGTTAGTCCTCGTAAAATGAGGTTTACCTAGTTCGAACTAAGGGCTGTGTAGCCCTTTAGTTCGAACTAGGTAAACCTCATTTTACGAGGACTAACGCCTAGTTCGAACTAGCTAGTTCGAACTAGGCGTTAGTCCTCGTAAAATGAGGTTTACCTAGTTCGAACTAAGGGCTGTGTAGCCCTTTAGTTCGAACTAGGTAAACCTCATTTTACGAGGACTAACGCCTAGTTCGAACTAGCTAGTTCGAACTAGGCGTTAGTCCTCGTAAAATGAGGTTTACCTAGTTCGAACTAAGGGCTGTGTAGCCCTTTAGTTCGAACTAGGTAAACCTCATTTTACGAGGACTAACGCCTAGTTCGAACTAGCTAGTTCGAACTAGGCGTTAGTCCTCGTAAAATGAGGTTTACCTAGTTCGAACTAAGGGCTGTGTAGCCCTTTAGTTCGAACTAGGTAAACCTCATTTTACGAGGACTAACGCCTAGTTCGAACTAGCTAGTTCGAACTAGGCGTTAGTCCTCGTAAAATGAGGTTTACCTAGTTCGAACTAAGGGGCTAGTGTAGACATACCCTCAGGGATGCTCTATGCTCCCACATTATGGACTTGCGTCGCCCAATGGAAGAACGTGCTTGGAGAGCAGGGGGTGCTGATTGCTCTTGTGTGGGAAGGGGTCGATTGCAGTGCACTCTGACTAATATGAATTCTTATGAAATGGAGCCGGAAGGAGAAACAGCATGATTTGATCAATGCAAAACACCAGCAACACTGAAAGCTTTAGACGTGACCAAGAGCAAAGTGCAATCAGTTAATCTACAAGACGCCTCCCATGCTATTGAGTGTCCCCAGTCCCTCCCATTCTCCTTTGCCTTCCTTCTATTTGCTGGGCACGTGGCACTAGGTTGCTGGAGGCAGGGGACACACAGAAGCTGATCACATCAGCTGCCCAGTCACTGAGTCATCCAAGCTGTTCCCGTTCCAGGAACTGCAAATCAAAAGCTTGCCCCTGTGTTGCTACCCTGTCCCCAAACCATGGAGCCAGCCTGATCCTTCTGCTCACCTCTCGGCATGGCCTTCCTCTAGTCACAAGCCCCTCTTCCTGGTACTTGACCTGCTTGTTGCCCTGCCTCAAACTTGAACCATAAGTTCTTCACAGAAATGGTTCCTCTTGGAACAATCCAGGAAGGCACATTGGCCCAGGCTTCTGCAGTGAAGGTGAGCTGTGGAGATACTGTAGGTTGTGCAGGTTGAGGGGCCTGGAATAGGACAAGACACAGAGGTTACAGTCTCCAACAGCTCGGTGCAGGAGAACAAAAATTCATTTTGGAATTTCAAAGGCAGAAAATGTTACTCTTTGAAACTGAACTGCAATATATTGACAGAAGGCTGCTTTGGCCTACAGAAGCTCCCTGGACACAGCCGAGTTAATCTATCAGCCTCCAGGCCAGGGTCAAATTTTGCAAACAAATCAACAAGGTGCTGCGTTAGCATCCATGTGGCCTAGTGCCTCTCTATGGCTGTTGTTGCAGCCTGGCAGGATGGCATGCAAACACAGGGAACTGCACAGCCATCCTTCTTCTGCCTCTGGGAAATCTCTGGGCTGATTTTAAACGCCCAGTCAGATTTGGGGCTAAAAATTTTGTGACCCTTAGATGGCAGGGACAGACATGGACTAGCCATGAAAACAGACCACATTTGAACCCCTTGCCCTTCCTTTCGCCCCACACAGTTCAGCCTTCAGGCAGCTCATTGCAAAATGGGGTTGGTACTGAGTAGTGTTCAGAGGGCTAATACAAGGGTCTTATTTAAACAAACCAGAAGGTACTTTCCCAGGAAATGCTTGTTTTACTGCTGGCATTTCCTGGTCCCTGTTTGGCATTCCATGGGGGGAGGACAGGAACAATGCACTACTAGCAGCTACACACCACTACCCAGGGCTTATAATAGCTCTGGGCATTTGGTCGTAGAGTGCAAATCCCTCCCTTTCCTATATTAATAAACAGAAAAATAAGCCAGAAACTTACTGGACTCCAAGGCAGCTTCTCTCTTTTCCCTTCTGTTGCCAGCTCCCTGGTGGGCTGTTCTTCTGCATATGGCCCCAGACTCATCAGCAGTCACTTCAATTGCCTCATTCAGTGAGTCCCCTGGTGGCTTCTGTGGGCACCGAGGTGTCATCCTGGCTGAGCAAGTCACCATCTACCACTGGTGGATCAGCACTCGGCACAGTACCTGGCACCTGGTCAAACCCATCGCTAGAAGGGCACAATGTCAGCAAGTTGCTGGACTCGCAGCTGCAGTCCTGGTTTTCCAGTACTCATTCTGGAACTCCTTCATCTGCTCCCTGAATTAGTCTCTGGTTGGCAAATTGCCAACACTACCAACTTCTTTGCGATTTGTGGGTATTTATGGGCATTCTATGCACTCTTACTGAAATCTGTTGTTTTGCTGGCTGAGCACCAAAGATTACCCAAGATCTGGCTCTGGTTGTCTCATGCGACCATGGTGCAGCTCGCTTTCATTACCAAAACAGAGCACTCTCCTAAGGTGTGTTTTCTGGTTGGCAGTCAGAGTAAAACACAAGGGTTAACCGCAAAGCTGCTGTACTAGAACAAGGGGAGGGGGGTGCTTCCGTTTCCCTGGAGTCAAGTAACAATACTTAGAAGAGGACAAAGGAAGATGACCCACAGAATTGTGGGATGCTTTTGGCAGACTCCAAGCATCAGAGCCCAAGGACATTGCAAGGGCTCGTATCCTGAGCACCACCTTGACTCTGGTACAAACCTTCCATCTTCATGGGGCTATAGGGCCGAGGCCAAGAGATGTGTGTACAGATGGAAGAGGAGTTAAGGTCTGAGCCGGACTCTGGGCTTACCTTGCAGTGTAGACATACCCAAAGTGGCTGTGTGCTAGTCTCTGTGTTACTGTGGCATGTGTAGTGAGTTAATAGGAGCTGTCTGGGGAGCAGTGACACATGCTGGGATTACCATACCTCCAGAAGGCCGGGCGTCTAGCTCTCTCCTTTCTGTTGTTCTCAGGAGGTGGATTCTGTTCTTCCTCTGGGAATCCTTCTTCTTCCTGTAAAATACCCTGTTAGTGTTCTTAGAGAAAGTTCAAAGGCCCATGCAGAAAAATAGGAAAGATTTACCGTGGAGTCGAAAGCTTTGTTCGTCAATCCCTTCTCATTGAGTGAAATTGTGACACCCGCCATATCCAGATGTACTCCAGCTATAACACAAACTCAGGAATTAGTTGGACAGCCCCACAATAGTCCATCGTATGAAGGAATGATGCCTTGAGCACCATCTGGTTCCCGAGCTGAGAGGCAACAGCCATTGCTTTGAAACCCGGAGCAGCTTCCTTGTTTTGGACCCAAGGGAAGGAAGCTCAGAACTCACAGATTTAAGGCCAGAAAGCTAGTCTGACCACCTGGAGAGCATAGGCCAGAGAACTTCCTGAAATAAGTCCTTAGAAAAACATCCTGACTTGAGTTAAAAATTGTCAGTGATAGAACATCCACCATGACCCTTGGTAAATTGTTCTAATGGTTAATGACACTCCCTGATAAAAACGTGCACCTTATTTCCAGTCTTAAAGTGTCCAGCTTCAATTTCCAGCCATTGGCTCATGTTAGATTGTTGTCTGCTAGATTGAAGAGCTCATTAGTAAATATTTGATCCCCACAGAGTTACTTATAGTAAACAAAATTACTCTAGCTAAACCAGCAAAGATATTCTGAGTCCAAAATCACAAGACAGAGAATTAACATGGCTCCTGCACCCTGAGAGACACAGGAGACTGAATCCCCGGAGGCCTTCCTGATGTTAGGACAAAGACAATTCCTTTGGGGACATCAGGGACAGAAAGAGACTCCGCCTTTGGCCTACACCTGAGGAGACACAGAACCAAGCACTCCTGTACTCTGTGTACTGGGACCTGGTTAGCCATACTAGAAAAAGACCGATTGAAGAGAAAATTACCTAGAGCAAAATCGTAGCTTATTAAGTTGGGTTTTAGCCATTAAAAAGCGTATTTTCACCCGTGTTTGCTTGTAGCCTGCTTTACTTTCGCTTTCTTGTGCCTGTTATCATGTAACCTCTGTCCTTTTGTTAACTTGCTCTATTTGCCTATGGTACAACTCCACGCTGCATTTGAACTGCAGTGATTATTCACTCCCGTTATAGGGACAAGCTGTACTTTTGTCTCTTAAAAGGAGCAGCAAACCTTTGTGACTCCTCTGGGCTGGACACAGCAGGGCAGACAGTTTTGGGACTGGGGATTGTCACAAAGTTGTGGAGAGTCACTGGGCCCTGCACCCCCCTCCGCAGCCAGATGTGACTCAGTTGGCAGGGAGAACAGGTTTATTAGTTGACAGGGACACAGCATAGAACAAACTTGTCAACACAGACACCAGAAGCAGTCAGTCCAATCCATCTTCGAGAGAGGGGGCCGAGAGCCAAGGCCCCTGGCCCCTCCCTGCACTCCAAACCAGCCAAGACCAACTCAAACAAAATACAGGACTATGTAGCACTTTAAAGACTAACAAGATGGTTTATTAGGTGATGAGCTTTCGTGGGCCAGACCCACTTCCTCAGATCAAATAGTGGAAGAAAATTGGCATGACCATATATACCAAAGGATACAATCAAAAAAATGAACACATATGAAAAGGACAAATCAAATTTCAGAACAGAGAGGGGATTGGGGGGGGAGGTAAATGTCTGCGAGCTAATGATATTAGAGGTGATAATTGGGGAAGCTATCTTTGTAATGGGTAAGATAATTAGCGTCTTTGTTGAGACCTAGGTGTAAAGTGTCAAATTAAAGCATGAATGACAGTTCAGAGGATTCTCTTTCAAGTCTGGTGTTAAAATGTCTTTGAAGCAGGATGCAGGTAGTTAAGCCCTTGAGACAATGCCCTTTCTGGTTGAAATGGCAAGAAACTGTTTTTTCTTTGTGATCCTGTCTAATATCTGTTTTCTGTGCATTGATCCTTTGGTGAAGTGTCTGAGACATCTGTCCAATGTACATAGCAGACGGACACTGTCGGCACATGATAGCATAAATTATATTTCTGGATGAGCAGGAATATGTGTTCTTGATCTTATAACTGAATTGGTTAGGTCCAATAATGGTATCAGCAGAGTGAATATGTGGACAAAGCTGGCAACGGGGTTTGTTGCAAGGGAAGGTACCAGGGTTGGTATTAGTGTGGTATGTCCTGTGGTTGTTGGTAAGAATCATCTTGAGGTTAGGTGGTTGTCTATAGGAGACTATGGGTCTTCTTCTTTATAACTAAACAATTCACAAAAAAGGGGGAAAACAAACACTTTTCATCTTTTCCCCGTAACAAAATAATAATGTCATTAATTCATGACTAGCTAGTGTTCGCTTCTCAATGTTTTCCAGATACTTGATAAAAAATGGCAAATTTCAAGATATTCACCGTAGGTATCATTTTAATATTGGTAAGATTTCCACAGAGGACAAGATATCATCATTTGTTAACCTATCAATTAGTAAATATATCTTTCTATTGAACAGTTATCACTACATATCAGCTAATTAAAAAAGGAAGGGGGCAGAAGAGTTTGTGTCAACCAGTGCCTTATCTTATGAAGTAATTGCCAAACCTAAGTATCAATATCAGTGAAATAACAATAATCAGCATCACTGAGCTGATATAAATTGAGGATTTGATTAGTGATTTGGGATTTAAAAAACAAAAACGCAAACCCAAATCCCATTTTTAAAAGCTGTTTTAACATTGATGAGTCTATCTCCCATTGATTTTTCTAGACTGGTTGACACTAGAAAGCTTTTCCACTTTAATTATCAAGCGGCCAGTGTAGACAGCTGGCAAGTTTTTCTGGAAAAGCGGCTGATTTTCTGGAAAAACTAGCCAATCTAGACAAAGCCCCACTGTATATGTGGGGGAGGCTGTCACTGAGATAAACTAGCCAATCTAGACACAGCTCCACTGTATATGTGGGGGAGGCTGTCACACCAAAATCCCATCATCATCTAGGCATTAGTGCAGTGCCCAAGGAAACTGAGGCACACACATGGGTTTACTACAGGATAGGAGAAATCACATGCAACATAACAAAGCGAACAGAGCAAATACAATCCACACCTGTCATAGGGTGTGTTGGGGTCACCCTGCAGGTAGTAACTGAGGCTGGTGGAGAGCAGAGTGGGGCTGCTGTGCTATAGGCAGGCTGCTGGGGTCGGAGTGCTAAAACAAGGCTGCACTGCGCACAGACATTCAGGGAGCTACACACGCGTTTGCTGGCTGTTGGCGTCTGGGATGTGAACCACAGCAGCAGAGCACCCAGAGTTACAGGGCCAACTCTACCTGCTCTGGATTAAGCCCCAAAGTATTACAGAGGATAAAGCTGGGAGCTCTTTCCTGGCTCTGGAACAGCCTGCAGGAGAGGGACAACACAGGAAGAGCCTTGAATTTCTCTCCTGTCCAGAGAAGCACTGAATTTGTCCCTTCAACATTACAATAAGCGAAGAGCTGCCAGTGAGCTCAGGGGTGCAAAGAAGGTCCATTTGATCTCTCCCTCTTCTTTGCCCAAGGGAAGCCTCTCTCCCTCCTCACTGCCCAAACATAGGAGAAGCCCCGAGCAGCCTCCTTCTTTTCAACTGCCCCAGGCCTGCCTCGCAGAGGGACAGGAGCAGACAGTCACTGTTCAGCTGCTTTCCTGAGCTCATTTCCGGGGCTCTAGCCCTGGACAAAACCAATGTTCAACTGGCTGAGAATAAAACTAAGTAACAGGTTTATCCCCCCCAAAACCCAGGAATTCAAAGCTAAGGTGATGTGTAGACAATCACAGTGGGGAAAAGCACAGCTGAGGCTCCCAAACACCCTTAACTCTGCCCTGTCATGGTGCCACGATTAGATTAAACGTGAACAGGACCCTGCCATTGGCATTGCTGGCCAAAGGCTCAATATGACCCAGGCCCACATAATGGGCTGGGGGTAGGTGCCGCTGACCCCGCACTCACACCATGCACCCACCCCAAAAGCTCAGACATCATCAGTCAGACTCAGCAATCCTAGACCTGGCTCCCGACTGTGAGATTTTATTACAAGGTTATAACATAGTCTTGGTCTGCTTTAGAATCTTGACCTCCCCCTGGCTCTCCCAACACACTGTGTGAGGAGCGGGTGCAGCACAACACCCCCTCCCCCCAATATAAATGTGATTGTTAAAGATAATAGTGTGGAAGTAACAGATTTCTGCTAGGCATTTGATTTTATACTGTGTGGTATTTTAATTAAAACAACTACCGGTAGGACAATATAAAATTAACCTGGCACACATAAAATGGATTAAAAAATGGCTAACTGGTGGTCTGAATATGTCATTTAAATGGGGAATCATCACTGAGTAGGGTTTTTTTCAGTGAGATCCTGCAGGGATCAGTTCCTGGCCCTGTGCTATTTAACATTTTTATCAATCACTCGGAAGAAAACAAAATCATCACAAATTGGGGGAATGGTAAATAATGAAGGGGACAAGCCACAGCACAGAGTGATCGAGAACACTTGGTAAACTGGGGGGCAAGCAAACACGGTGTGTTTTAATACGGCTAACTGCAAATGTCTACATCTGGGAACAAAGACTGCAGGCCACACTTACATGATGGGGCTCTGTCCTGGAAAGCAGTGACCCTGAAAAAGATGAGGTTTGTGGTAGATAGTCAGCTGTCCTTGAGCTCCCAGTAGGATGCTGTGACCAAAGGGGCTAATGTAATCCTGAGATGCATCAACAGGAGAACCATTAGTAGGAGCAGAGCAGTTATTTTCTCTCTCTACTTAGCACTAGGGTGACTATTGCTGGAATGCTCAGTCCAGTTCTGGTGTCCACAGTTGAGGAAAGATGTAGAGCAATTTGAAAGGGCTCAAAGAAGAGCTGTGAGAATGATTAAAGAGTTAGCAAGGTTTTCCCTAGAGTAACAGACTAAAAGATCCCAATCTATTTAACTGAACAAAGAGAAGGTGCACGGGTGACTTGATTCCAGGCTATAAGTACCTCCCTGGGGAAAAAATATTTACTTATGGGCTCTTTCGTTTAGAAATGAAAGAGCTAATCCCACCCAATGGCTGGATGTTGAAGACAAACCAGTTCAGACTGGAAATAAGATGCACGTTTTGAATAGGGAGGATAATTAACCCCTGGATCAACTGATCAAGGGATGTTGTTCATGCTTCATCACTGGCCATTTTTTAAAATAAAGATGGGACTTTCTCTAAAAAATCATCTCTAGGGGTTATTTTGAGGAAGTCTCCGGCTTGTGTTATTCAGGAGGTCAGACTAGATCAGTGGCAGAGATGTCAGGAAGCATGTAATACAATTAACCAATAAGTGGCTCTGCATTTAAAGGAGCTTGGGAGCAGGCACAGTCAGGCTGGGTCAGTCCCGGCTCGCACCAGGTCCTGGCAACAGGGGTAACTACCAGGACCTGGCGTGAGCTGGGAATGAGTCAGGCTGTGTTCCAGCTCCCAAAATACTTTAAATGCAGAGCCACAAAGCGAGGGGCAGAGAAGAGTGAGAGGGAAGAAGGGGAGGTTGCATGTAGCTGGTAGTGTTAACTGATCAGCATCCACTTGTTGGTTAATCGTTTAACCAGCTACACTATTACATCCCTAATCAGTGGTCCCATAGTGTTCCTCACTAGTGTGGCACAGAGGAACATTCGGGGGTGCACAGCAGGGCCAAGGGCAACCCCCACAGGAGGGAGGAGGGACCACCACACTTCCAGCCAGGTTCCACCACCAGCCCAGCTCTGCCCTCAACCCTGTTCAGTCCCACAGTCCTGTTGCGCCTCCAGGCCAGATCCTCACCAGTCCCAACTCCATTCCATCGTCCAACCCCAGTTCCCTCTCCCGCTTTGCATCCAGCCCAACTCTGCCCTCATTCCTTCCTGTCCGCAGCCCAGCTCAACTTTATCCCCAGCTGCTCCCACATCCCCAATTCCACCCCCAGGGCTGCTTTCAGCCCAAGTTCTGCTGCTGAGGAAGCTGTGTAGTAATGGAGGGGGCATGGGGAGACTCCATTGCTGGTACGGGGACACAACTGAAAATGTTTTCACACCACGGGACTAGATCACTACAGTCCCTGTGGCCTTGAAATCAATGAAATGGCAAGAGAAGGCAACCCTGCAGACTAATGCAACAGTTTTCAAACTCTTTTCTCGCAACCCAGTTGACGAAAATTGTGATGCTCACAACCCAACATAATTACATCTTTTCACTTGAGTACACGCTCTGAGGAAGCCAGGAATGAGGGGTCTGGGTTGCAGGAGTGGGCTCCGGGTTTAGAGCGGCTCAGGGCTGGGGTAGGGAGTTGGTGCTAATGGTTGGGCATGGGCTTACCTCCAGCAGCTCCTGGTAAGCGGTGCAGTGGGGGCGCTAAAGCAGGCTTCCCGGAATCAGCCAGCAGTAGGTCTGGCTCCTAGATGGAGGTCCACAAGCAGCTCTGCACACTGCTCTTGCCTGCAGGCACAGACCCTCCCCAGCTCCCATTGGCTGGGAACGGGCCAATGGGAATGTGGAGCCAGTGCTTGGGGTGGGACCAGTGCATAGAGGCCTCTCCCCTTGAACCTAGGAGCCAGACCTGCTGCTGGCCACTTCCAGGATGCAACATGGTCCACAGTGCCAGGTCAGGCGGGAAGTCTGCCTCAGGACCCCCACTAGTGACCGGGTCAGCCTACAGCAAGGGGACCTAGTGCCTGACATTGTGTGACCCAGTGCTGAGTCACGACTCGCAACCCCTAGTTTGAAAACCACTGGCCTAACGGACACATGCTCATTTGCATTCCCCCCCCTCAGGTGTGGATTAGTGAATGAATGGTGGTCCTGCCCACTAGGCTGCCCAGTGCCTTGTCAGACACAAAGCGTGCAGCTCCTAAGAGGCTGCTAAGATCCCCTATCCCCACTGCATAGACCAGCATGGGAAAGGGACTGGCCCATGGTGCTAGGGGAGAAAGCCAGGAACAGAGTGCAATCTCTCAGCTCAGGTATTCTCCTTCTCCCCCAGGTCATCCAATGCCACCACATGTAGAGGATGCACCCTTGCCTGCCCCACTCCACTATGAGGCCTTCTGAGTTTGAGTGAATGAGCTTCCAAAGTGGAGGTGTCACTGAGGAATGAGACTCTAGATAATGAAGACTTGGATTCTTCCAAGTGTTGCTTGTCCCAAAAAGCCTCAGGTTCGCCATCAATTCCTTTCAAATACAACGAATGGCACAACCTCAGCCCTAAGAGTCCACTAAACTCAAACCAAGCCCTGTCCTCAGAACACCAGCCCAGAGCTTCCATGTCCTCCGTCCCCGGCCCTGGTACTGACCTTCCCTAGTGCTCTGTCAGCCTGGCCATTTGCTCTCATCCTCACCCTGCCCTGCCCATTCCTTTCTCTCTCCCACATTTTTGTTTCTCTAGCAGAGCTGGTGCCCTGGTCAAGGATCCTCGGCCCAGGTGGCCCCACTCCCCATTGGCTGCAGCCCCTGTTAGTAACTGACTCACCGCAGACCTTCTTGTAGGGATTAAATACTGAATTCTCAGCTCCCTCGAGCTTACAGCGTCCTTCCCATTGCTTTGTGCCAGGGCTGGCAAAGGAGCAGGTTACCAATTAACAGAAAAGTCCAAGGAATTGGACTCCGTCTTCCTAGGTCATCAGGTACCACCCATGCCTGCTCCTCCTGCACACTCCTCCAGCTAAATTCCTAATGACTTGGCTAACAGTAACCACTGAAGAAACTCAAACCCAATAATCTGAGTGAGTAGCCCTGTTCCTTCCACCTTGCCCTGTGAAACACCATTGTTAGTAAATCCTCATAGGCCCCTTTCCTTTTGGTATGTTAAATTCATTCATATTGTCATAATTCTCACAAAATCTTTAAGGTATCAGCCAAGAGTGTGTTACAATAAGACCAGAGAGTTGGTTTATAATCTCTGAGTGACCCAAATTCAGGAATTTAATGTGATTTGAGTTGCTGAGCTGTATGTAATTTTCCTCAGCATCCTCAGTGGGAACCCAAGTGTCCAGGGAAAAGACAAACTCAAACAACGAAAAGCATTTACAGAAATATGTAACAAACAAAACTGGGTGATTGATAAGGCAGAATTGTCATCAGGTTCTGAACGAGCATGGAGGACATCATTTTTTACAATGTCTGATCTCACATGCACCCTACAGAGGAAGACATGTTGAGTAAATGTCAAGCAAGTGTGTCATTGAAAACATAAGGCATGCACTGGAGGGAGAAACTAAGGTAAGAACAGTCACTTAGTGATAACCAGGTTCCATTAAATATGTACGCAGGAGAAACTGGAAATTCATAGCGCACGAAGCCCTAGATAATTACACAGATAATTAATTTGAAACGGCATGTTTTCTAAAATAAGAAATCTATTTAAATATTCAAGGGACTTAAAAGCAAAATGCCCCTCTATTTCATTAACACTCTTGACTTGGCTTTGAAGAACATCCTTGAAAACTGCCTTTTTATATGCTTCTTGTTTGTATGTTCTGTTCTGTGCCATATATTCTCTCACCAGCCACTACTTTGCAAAGCAATATTTTTCTGTAAGAGCGTCAGGAAGAGATTAGAGTTTACATATGGGTTGCTGTGTAAAGCTCAATTTGGAATAACAAATGGCTCATTGATGACAATATGAAGGTGTGGAAAAGCAAAGAGAATATTAAATATGTCCAAGGAGGTGATGATCACTGTTACCTCTTTTTTCATCACCTGTGCAGTTCTACAGTTG